TTAGATACTCGGCCGTGATGTGCCTGCCTTGTCAGGATGTAGTCAAGGCGCTTGCAATCGGTTCCCGACACACCGTTGTATGTGTGCCATATTCCGCCCTTGCATGTCTCAAAGAACGTGTTCGTGAGAGCTAGCCTGTTTTCCGTTGCGAAGTTCAACAGTAGCATGCCATTGTCGTTGAGCTCATCACGCCCGTACATTCCTATTGCCCTTCCGTCCCCTCCGTCCAACCTATCTCCCGTCCGCGCGTTGGCGTCCATTAGGATACACACATATTCTTTGGAAGGGATTCTCCGCACGAGACTGTCAAGTTTCCCCCGGAACACGCGCTTGCTGTCGACGGTTGAAGGTTCGGTTGGAGCATACGCGGCTACGAAGTTGACCGCTCCACGGTGGCCTGCCAACAGAAACCTCATGGCCATAAGGCGTTCGTCGATAAACTCCGTAGTGAACGTGGATGTCTTGCACAGTGACTCTTTGACGGCTATCCCCACACCATGGACTCCACCAGTCTCCGTGCCACAGCAGAACACCCGGAAACCCGCTGCTGCAAATTCCGTTCGACCTGCTCTCCTTGTCTCCTGCATTCCTACCACCGATACGTCTTGTCTCGCTGCCTCATGTAGAACGTTGCAGGCTCGCCCGTATTCATTTGCCCCGTTTACAGACAAAGTCCGCACATTCTAGGTTGCTACCCCAAGAAGTTGATCCTGCTGCCTCTTTCGCGCGGCGCGCGCTGCTCTCTTAGCTAGCCTACGCGCCGCCCGACCCTTCCTTTTCCTCCATCTTCCCCTCTTTTTTGTCTTTTTGCTATTTTTTTGCGAACACTCGGGCTGACGTGATAGTTACCCCGGTTCTTGCCTTGTTCCCCAAAGCGGTGTCTTCTTGTCCCGGAGCGTTGTGGCCCTCCATCTCTGGACTCTCCTTTCCTCTCTCTGGGGCATACCCCCACGGCGTGCGGTCACTCCGCCACCCTCACCGTGATCTCTGCTGCTGCATAGCCCCAGTGTCCAAGCCGGGGCGTCAGGATCAAGTCTCATTTTGCAGCTACCAAAGCTGGCGGTTCACGAGCTACCCCGATCTCACGATAGCAGTAACTCCCAACCGCCAAACTCAGGATCCCCCTTTCAACAGTGCTAGGGACCGTATATCCGTCTTTGCTGGGTGGTCTTTCGAGGTCTAGATCCACTTGCGGAACCTCGGCCTACCCCAGGGACGGGGGGGGCAGGCCGGGGAGGAGACTGTGCACATTGGGCACGACCAAACCCCAACCAACCATCGATCCTATATGGTATGTGTGTAGACTAGACTATGTACACTATGGACTTCTGCGTTGTCCGCTGCATACGATTTCTCACCACAACCAACTCCATGACAATATTCCACGCTGCTGCGACATTGTATGCTAGTTTTCTTGCTCGAAAACCAACTGCAGCCGAGTTAGTGCAATTCAAGATACCACACATACATTTAATCGATAAGAAAAACAAACTGGGACCGGCCCGCAGACTGCATACTATTCGTGGTACCGAATAGCTTCAGAGACTTCATTACAGCTGATGCACGGCCAATTTCGGTTGAACCCCAACAACCTGGCCAACCACCAGAACCCCACCGGCTCCCCAACCATGAGCTGAATGATATCGACAGGGTGGCCCATAACAGGCGGTCCGAAGTTCTTGAAGTTGGCGGGAGCTCTTGTATTTATTATACTTCGCGCGTGTCGGAGTGTCATCTGAAATATCACGAACGAACAGAAGTACGTATTTCAGGCATGCGGTGTTTCTAACTGCACACAGGCGGATGGTTCTATTGCGAAAATGTTTGAAAGGCACGAAATAGATGTATTCGCAGACTCACCAATTCATGATGAGGCAGAGGACCTTCCCACATGGCGGACTTGACTGTCTGGAGAGCGCCCATAAAACAGTCTGCTGCGGGTGTTAGCCCGTGAAAGGCTGACTCCTCCATATTTTCGGTAAGTGCCAATGTTATCGCAAGGAGACTGTTAAAAAAGCAGTTGTTGCTGGAGTTCAAAGCGAGCCAAAGAAGTCTCGGTTCACCGCTGGGGCAACCAGATCCATTCGCTACTTCGCCAGCACTAGGCCCAGCTCCTGAAAAGCGTGCACGTAAACTTGGCGTAGGATGACCACTCGACAAACCCAGGAACGACGCCCTGTGTTTGTGCGATTGTTCGTCGATCCACGCCATCAGTGTAGCCGGGTCGTTTGCAGGCTTGGTCTGAAGTTGATGCAGGGTAACGTCGAAGAGCAACCGAATAGCTTCGAGACTGGTCGTCCTGGAGATGGCAACGTAAATGAGAGCACTATCGTCCACACCTCTCCCTCCTTGTTTACGTTGAGGTTGACGCAAATCGAGAAGACAGTCGTCAAGGCTTTCACCTTGTGCACGATGCACAGAAGAGATATTCCCACAGCACAAAGGCAACTGCCGTCTTTTTATGTAGTACTCCTTTTCGACGAACTGTAGCGAGAGGGAACGGTTACTCTGATAGTTCGCGTATGCGGCTTGATGGCAACGACACCTTGGTCTAAACCTGGCAGATGTAAGCCTCTTTTGTGAGTGTCTTTGACCTAGACCAGAACATACAGAGGCAGCCGCCTCAAGTAGACATCTGTGGCATATTCGGGGGGCATGTCCGGTTCCTTAGAATGGAGAACAATCTTCCTGATGATTCCAGACGAGTTGTTGCAAACGCCAGCGCCAACGTATTGAGTCTGAAGTCGAAGAATAACTTGCATCCCAATCGCCAACGAAGTTTCACGAGGTAGATCCATCGTCTTGTTATCTTCAAGTTGGTTGACGTAACTTCTTAGACCGGCCGGCCATGCCCTTCCAGTGTAAAGTCTTCAATCACCAATTCGCAACTTGTCGCGTGCCNAATTCAGGATGTCCCTGCCTTCGCTCGTGCATGAACCCACGCGAAGTCTCTCGACAATCCCACGAAGTGGCTCCGTGAAACGCTTGCTTTGAACTAGCATAACCCACGCAGTCATGCTTAAAAACAGCTGTTGGCCGCCGAAGGCTGATGAAGAAGAAGATGCGAGGACAGCAGCGCCGATGTCTTTGCTGAAACCGGAAGCCAAGCCTTTGCTTGCTACCGGCTGTAGTTGACTGAAATCGCCGAGAGCAGCGATGTCGAGACCACCGAAAGGCGAGCTGGCATCTGCGCCAAGAGAAGCAACAGCCGCGACATGTAGAGCCGCAAGCATTTTCGCAGAAACCATTGATACTTCCTCTATGATGAGTACCGTTACATCTTCCCATAACGCTTTCTTTTTGGGAGATAATCTCCGGGCTGGTGTTGACTGTTCTCATCAGGAACACTGGCAATACTGTGGATAATCGTTCCGCCTAGAGTTGTTGCTTGCTTTCCTTGGAATACGCACCGCTTTCTCAGGACCACCACGACGGAGGACACATTGCCAAGCGATCAAAGAGCTAATCGCACGTGCAACATGCGACTTCCCGGTGCCTGCTCCTCCACCGATGTACAACCTGCATGGGCTTGCCATTTCTCCGCGCTGTCGTTTCATGAAAGAGTCCGCGAACGAATAATATGCCAGCCGCTGCTCGTCGTTGAGCATGTAATGCTCTGCTATTTGCGTCACAACAGGCGAAAACTTTGCTGAGAGTAAACCGATATCGGATTGCCGGACACGGTTGTTTATTTCTTCTCTCTCTGAAGACGTCATGTCTCCAGGAGCAGCATTTACAGTTTGCAGCGACTGAATATATGCTCCTGAAGTGATAGCTGATGAAGAACCTATATTGACAGTCCTCTGATCGTTGTTGTCTTCATGGTCTTCATCATCGCAACGATCGGGAGTCAGAACGGATGTGCTGAATTCGCTGAGCAAGCGCATCGAAGTATTTACGAAGCTGCTCCCTGCTTGGTCATCATCGGAACGAACAGCACTTGGCGTGTCATTTGATTGGACGCTTGATGGTAGACGACCAGCGTCGGCAGCATCATGTTCCCTCTCGCCATCGACAATGCCGAAGTTTATGCACCTTTGCAAGGCTTCCTCGGCGTGGTCGTTTGCACGCTGCTCTGACTTACTTACCAAAGAAAGGTTAACATCGTCACATCCATCGTCGTCGTCATCACTGTCATCGAAGTCACTCCCGGAACCATCTTCGACAGGTGTGAACATTCCAGCGTAGTTGCGGCTTTCATCCGCAGCTCTAGATCTCCTGGCGGCATTTGCAGCTCTCTTTTCTGTCTACATTGTATTGATGTTCTCTCTCAGTGGCCGAGACCGGGAGTCCCATGCATCAGCGGGCATATTTCTGTAAGCCTCGTGCCAAGAGGTTACATCCCTGCGGATACAGATCTCGTGCTTCGAAGAACGGCTTGAACAACACGAGAAGTAGGCGCCCGAAGCTCTCTGGATTCGCTTCTTCCAGAGGCGGCTCGCACATGATATCCAGCTCTTTTGATATTTTTCGCAAATATTGCGTATGTATACCCAGCTCTGTAATCTCCGATGAAGTCGTATCTAGTGTGGGGTTGTGCACCCCCAAAATTTGGAGGAGAGCGTTCTGCGGTAGACACATCTTCGGTAGCACTGACTTGCTCATGTGGTCGCTTGTTGCCTTTTACCTTGGTAATCGCTACTAGGCGCGTGTACATGAAATAGCACATGCTGTGGAAAGGATGATTGACGTCGTCAGGTACACACCGGTGGATGTAATCTTGCGGAGCGCGAGGAGAACAACACAGACGCCCCTCAACCGCCGTCAGCAATACACCGTCCTCCTCGTCGTCGCTGTCGTCAGAGTTTTCAGAGCCTTCTTCTTTCAATTCAGATGGAAGCGAATGCTTGATCCAGCCATACACAGGTAGGTGTCAGCCGGCACAGTATAGGCTTATGCGATAAAATTGTATCGGACCACCCCATTAATTTGCACACGGCCGCTGCACCGCCCAATTCTGTGCCAGATAACAGATGGCAGAGAGAAACCCTCACGATTCTTCGCATGCGTTCGTCATTAGGTTCAGAACGGTCTTCTTTGTCAATGCGAGTAACCGCTTCGGCCAGCAAAGGAAGAATCAATTTCACCGTTCGATTGGATTTCGTCGTGTACATGAGGATGTAAAAAACGAGTCCTCGGGCATCACCATTTCCCAGAATAACCTGCGAAACACGTGCCAATAACGACATAAAACAACATGACTCATGGTGACCAAACATGGGTGAACAACTAAAAACATACATGCCATTCACAATTTCACCAAACGCGACATTAGATGCAATTGTCACCGTACCTTGATGTCCATGTTGGAACGGATGGCCTGCTGGACAACCCAATTGTAACTGTTGATGTGGGTTGATCCGCGGCGCACCCGTATCAGGAAATCGTCGTCGCCGTCTTCAAATGGAACGTTGTCATCAACTGCCTTCGCGCGGGCGCGAATAACTCTGTCTATTTCCCTCTGCAGTTCCAGTGCAGCCGTTTGATCGTTTGGCCCGTCGACCTCTACCGTCACGCCGTCTATCTCCAGCGTACCGTCCGAATAAACAACTGCTCTGCCGTTCTTCACACTTCCTCTCTCGAGAATAGGCTTTCCGTCAACGCCGAACCCAAATCGACACTCGGCACCAGGGAGTGGTAGTCCATCTGTTCCTTTTTTCCCATATTTTGTGCACGTGTGTGTACATCCATGCCAAGACGCCACCCATGCTAAAGAGGACGTGTCTTCAGGTATGCACGAAAGACACGCGGGGTTTTCTCCGAATAAGCGCTGAATATTGACTGCAGGAACAGGAGGACAAAATGATACCCTGCGCTTGTCTTTTCTAGCCTCCCTTGTGTGAAGTGGCTCCGGCCATTCTTCTGCCGAAACGCTGTCGACGTCGTAGCTCTGGTTTTGTTGAGCGAACCCCTTATCAAACGGTGACGCGTTGGGGAGCACAACGTTGTTGTACACTGGCTCGGATTGGTTGAAGAGGCCGAACTCTACCTCTTCGACGGACATGACCTGGTTGTAGATTATTCGTCCGATGTACCTGTTCAAACAGGATCAACACATGAAGGATTATTGTACTAAAAATAGAAGGCGAATGGTGCAAAACATAAATGTATATAATAACACGAAATGTACGCACTTGGCTAGTTCGGCGTGCTTCTTCAGGCTGTACCCAACGTCTTGTCGCAACTGTTCCCGGCTCGTGAACCCATGCACCCATACCATGAGATGACCGTGAAGCATTAGACGATGCTGCTCTTCGGTCATGCCGATATAAGCTTTGATGTTGCCTAGCGCCCCACCATCGCCATCGTTAGCCTGAAACCTCAGAATATATTTCAGCACCGCCTCGATAGTTTCGTGAAAAAAAATGGCTGAAGCCACGGGATCGTTCACGATTNATGAAGCATAAGACGATGCTGCTCTTCGGTCATGCAGATATAAGCTTTGATGTTGCCTAGCGCCCCACCATCGCCATCGTTAGCCTGAAACCTCAGAATATATTTCAGGACCGCCTCGATAGTTTCGTGAAAAAAAATGGCTGAAGCCACGGGATCGTTCACGATTATATCAAGTCGTTCTCTGAAACCTGGCCTCTGTTCATGGCATGTCGACGATAGGTCGATGTCGTGACCTCCGTAATGCATGACGAAGGGACTGTTCAGGTCTGAAGGATTCACCGTCATCCAGAAGAAAGGCTGTCCGAACAGTATAAACATGGAGTGTGCTGTAGTACGCGCCCTGTGCTTTCCGTGGTCTGTCCACGTCGCGTCTCCCGATACTGCTTGCATCGTCCGAAGAAGAGATCTTATCTCGGGTCTGTTGTTTAAAACCGCGCTGTTTTTTTTCCCTGACTTGAGTTCTTCTGCCATGGCTTGTAAATGCTCTTTGGCGATAGAAGCGATTGCGTCTGCAGAATTAGGTTGAACCGACAGCTTGAATCGCACATTTGCAATTGCTTC